ACTCTCTCTCTCTCTCTCTCTCTCTCTCTCTCTCTCTCTCTCTCTCTCTCTCTCTCTCTCTCTCTCTCTCTCTCTCTCTCTCTCTCTCTCTCTCTCTCTCTCTCTCTCTCTCTCTCTCTCTCTCTCTCTCTCTCTCTCTCTCTCTCTCTCTCTCTCTCTACCGCTGACTAACGGCTCCCCCACACAGTTCACACCAGAGATGCGCGACGCTGAGATGCAGCTTGCGATAAGACGAAAGTAAGTTTCAACGGCTTCATCTATCAACTGATGCGGTCGGATGCTGCAGCTCCTCATCAGTACCACTGCTGACCTGTCTGTCGCTTATCGTGCGCACCTCATCCGCTGGCAGCTCGTACATCACGCGGCCAATTATCAGACATCGCGAGTAAACGCGCGTCAGATGAGGGATTGTGCTGAAACGTTCTCCCCGCTTTCCTGTCCGTCACGATTTCGAAGAAAACGCGCGGCAGCGAACAATTTCCGCGAGGTGATCGTGAGGCGGGTTACACTCCGGCCCGTATATCGTATTGCATCTCCCTACGCAGAGCAACAATTAATACTACAATGACGAATCAGCACGTCGACTTCAGCAGTAACATGCTAATTGATTCAATATTATTATTAGACAGATTAGACAAAATAGACAGAACTATTGCACGCTTGCATCTTTTGCTGATGACGAATTAGAATGCGCATTTCTGTCTCGGATTACACTTCAAGGAAAAGTTGATGCTGCTTCTCAATATTTCAGAAATCAGCAACAAAACCAGCCCTATAGCCTGGCCGCAAATCGCCTCTTAATTGGAATAGAAATAAATAACGAACACATAAATTGATTGGTTTGTAAATTCTGACAGCCGCCTGCTCAGCATATGGTTTTCTAAGTGCCTATAGCTACCTTGTAGATGGCCAGAATTACTGTATAGATTTGAGAAGGAGCACGGAAGGATCTATATATGTAAAACATGTGGGGGGTCTGCGTATGCCTAACATACAGGAAGGGTGGTGGGGGGTTGTAGATGCAGAACATATGGGGAGGGTGGGAGGGCCTTGTAGCTGCCACTCTGACTTGTATTGCTGATGACATAGTCAACAATTATGGCAGAAACATCTGGCAGGAATTTCCTACCCTCTACAAACTTCAACTTTAACTTCCACGTACGAAAACAACGCTGACAACAACGCATCAACAACTCAACAAATCCACACACAGAGCTCTAAGAAGTTGACAGAAAATGGCAATGCGTTGGCACGTGTGCGTTAAAACGGAATTTCACACGTGATCATCGCACGAGAAACTGACACCTAGCTTTCCAACAAGTGATCAAGAGCCAGATGCTGGACAAATGCTCAAGAAAATTCGAGGATCCATTATATATTGTTCGTGCACAGCATAACACTCACGGCATCCAAACGTGCTGCTGGTATTTATACACCTTCTAAGTTTACATTAATAGCATTAGTTACTCACGCAGAAATTAGGACTGTCGACAAAATACAGTTCGTAATTCTGATGAGGACTATAGAGGAAAGTCACATTTACGACAATGATCGAATTTCAAAACTACGCTAAAGCTTGGCTAACTTCATATTAGTTTTAACTTAGATCATCAGGTGCGGGCTAATTGCCAACTGGCTGTGTGTGTGTGTGTGTGTGTGTGTGTGTGTGTGTGTGTGTGTGTGTGTGTGTGTGCGTGTGTGTGTGTGTGTATACGTGTGTGTGTATACGTGTGTGTGTGTGCGTGCGTGCGTGCGTGCGTGCGTGCGTGCGTGTGTGTGAGGGGGGGGGGGTGCTTCCTGTTGCTGCCGTTGCTGATGTTGCTACCGTTGCCGTTAAAGTTAATTTAACGAACCAGCAAGATAAATAACATCAATCACCAGTACATGATGCATCTTGATTATGTCACTTTCTTTAAACCATAGAGAATTGCTGCATGCAGAAAATGATGTATTGCATAAGGATATTTGCTCACTAGATTGTCTGGCAAAAACAGACAGAAAGAAAGAAGCGCGAGAGCGAGAGAGAGAAATGAGGAGGAACAAACTAAACAAAAATATTGTTATCCTAACAAGGTAAATGTAGTTTCTTGGAAATTCTCATGAGTGTATTATAACAAGAACGGTTACGTGGGTTTCAAGAGAAACAAGAAAGACAGCTCCCAATTAGTGATACGTAATCTTGCGAAATTTTTAAGCGACTGGTTTTTAATGATAATTACTTAAGCATGACGGAGAAGGATTTGTTAATATAAAAAAGGTGGACGATACCAATTACTGTCGACTTGCTCATAAAAGATGAGCATTGAAAAACACGCAGAATCACCGATTATTTCAAATGAAGCCTGTCAGCACAGATTGCCCAAATAAACTCTTTACTCCAAGTTTTGCAGAACTTGCAAGTGTTTTCTCGAGTTATATTCCCGAGAGACCGTGTGGGCGTACCAAACTATGATTGTTATCTGAGATCAGGTGCAAAATCGCATTTTAATGGGGTTTTTTCCGGAAAGATGACAACGTACGTACTGCTGAAAAGGCCAAGTGAAATCATTCAATGTGCAAATGCAGAACATAAACATACAACCAAATTGAGCACCTGAGCCTGCACAGCGATATAAGGTGAGTGTGCTTACTGCCCAGTGATCGGGGATACTAGCTGCTTATGAAAATGTTGTAGATTCGTCGGTCCAGTGGTCGGTGATACTGCATAACACCGCATCCCTAAACTAAAGAACCCAGCACGCGGTGATACTAGGTGCGTATGACCATTGCCCACGTCCTGGCCTACACAGCTATACCGTCCACCGGTCAGTCATGCCAACTGTACACGACTGCTGCAATTCACAAGCGATAGCATTATTTATTCACGGCTACTGCCCGACACTAGAGTGGCCAGTGGCCAGTGATGCTAGCCGTGTATGTCCACTGCCCTCGGTAAATGAAGCTGACTAATTAGATGCGGACGTATTTAAATAGCGTTCCGAATACTGGCCGGGAGTATATATACTCAAATGCGCTGCACTGTAATGTAAGTGTTAGATAATGTCGACAGCTAGCCTAGTCATATTTGACCGAATGATATGTCAATATAGAACCATTTATGACTCTGATTTAACAAAGGAAATTGAATGCAAATAACTATATGTGCTTTCAATCAGAAGCATACATGCATTACCACGGAAGTTTAATCATTCATATATGTTCAATTAGGGGGGAGGCAGTGTCCAAGCCATAGTAATTACATCCACAAACATTTCATTTCAGGATTATATATCTTTCTAAATTGTGACTTGAGTCATGCAATGCTTAAGAGGAAATGAGTAAAATAGTACTACCAACTAAGTTTAAGTATTTAAGAGTATTAAATTTGTTCATTTTAGAAAATGTTACTAAACCTAAGTGAATTAAATAGGCTTAAACGTTACACGTGCTAGAAGCTTTAGGTAGACGGGACACTAATTTTGTTCAGAAGATTACTGCAGCAGTATATACCTGCCACGATGGCATATAGAGAGACGACAGTTAAAGCGCATATCTTAATCCAAAAGTCAATTATACTATTTCCCTGTAAAATTACTGAACTCTGTGAGTCAATATTTATTTAGTTGATATTATTCCCGTAGATGCAAGATTTACACCAAACGGCGATCGTCACTATTTTGTATCCCATTCTAACCCTAACCCTAACCCTAACCCTACATGCACATATAGCTCTCCTCACACTCTCCATGCCCTCTACTGCCACTGCCACAATACTTCAGCATACTGCTGTCTGGTGTAGCCCATTACATTAGTTCTGTATGCAAATAGAGCTCTACTGTTCGAAACATGCAGGATATTCACTTGTTTGCGCGGCTGTCTAACACTGCATTTGTAATGGACCGCTTTTAAATACCTGACAAGTCTAGCAGTGTGCTTGTGAAAACAGTCCCACTCAAATGTTTCAAACACGGATGGTCAATTACAGGCATTTGGCAAACATATCAGGCGATTATGCTGCGAGCAGGAACGCCTTTTGCAGCCAAATGAACGATCCTCCACACACTTTAGAGGTGTGTGTGTGTAATGCACTGCCTCAAAGGAAGAGTACCACAACAATGGTGTAATCTAAGAGAAAAATACAGCCTTACAAACAGGAATGTGCCACTTGTTGCACATTTCGCCAAACTTCTGTTCAATATTTGCACTCTTCGTTGCCGACAGAATTCCTTGCCGAGCGGAACACACCGTTGAAATGGACTCAAATGCTGCTCACTTCAGCTTTTGTTAACCCACATCGTTTGCACATGTTCCTATTTAGCAAGATCAATATGAGAATGGCAGACAGCGGGTTTGAGGTAGCAGAAGAACAAATATCTGCGCGCAATGCAATGTCATCCACCTGTCACCCAGTGGTGCGAATAATGCACAAAACCTTCGAATGCGGAACAAATACGTGCATACTTTCTACACTGGTGCAGGTATATTGATAATTCAGCCTTATAGTTACGTTGGTTTAAAGACATTCTATTTTAAATCCATAGAATTTCGTTAAAATAAACCAGAAATTGTTTTTTTTAAATCGTTAACATATTTTTGCTACTCCTCCTCTTTATTACTTCCTTCCTGCATGGATGTTACTCCGTATCTGTTGACATATATCTCTCCCTAATCCTCCTCATTTGGACCACACACATTATTTACACATTACCTCCCTTCACCATTTGTTCCTTGAATTGGATTCCATTATCACACTTACCCTTCCGGTGTAGATGTACATCAGTACAGACTTGAAGTGCTCTGGTCGGAAAAACCTATAGCTCTGCTGATAGGGATGGGACTTTGGCGTGTAGAAGAACTCATCCTTGTATGCCTGGAATGTCGAGCATCTATACAAAGCAAAACAATCGTTAATTCAGTTGTGGGATTACCGGGGTTTAATACTGCACTGCACAATAACAGGACAACATATTTTCAGCTTTAAGCATTCTTCGCTGTTAAACTCCCCGCACTTCTGCTACGTACTGATCCTGAAAGTACAATATTTCTGAAAAATGCATTAAGATTTATTGATGAACTAATTAACATACAAAAAATTGCGGTGGGTTTCTCGGATCAATGCTATTTCTTTTCAACCAATTCTCTCACGCAGACACACGGTGTAAATTTAACGGGGGGCAGTGGCGGATCCAGGAGGGGGGGGCAAGAGGCGCGTGCCCCTCTATTTTTTGCCCCCCCCCCTCTATTCGGCAATCGAAGCGTGCACACCGACGTTATCACAAAATCCGCACCCCCTAACATGAAATGCTGGCTACGCGGTTGCGCCCCCCTCCCCATCTCAAAATTCTTGATCCGCCACTGGGGAGCTCGATGGTATTCCAACCGCTGAACTATCTAAGGCACCAGAAGATTCCCAGTTTGAACCAAGTGAAAGAAGTGAAAAGCCAAGATAAAAAACACAACAAATAATTGGAATGATGTGAGATACGGAAAGAGGATCGATATGGGAGAAAATTGCCAATGGGGGGTTGGTCATTGTTAATGAGGCAGGTCTGTAACATGAAATCTTTTCTAAGACAGATCTGAGTGGTTAACATTGTTTAAATGACAGGTGTGCGAGTTGGACATTGTTTACCGGACAGGTGTATGAGCTGACACTGTCTGTAAAACATAGTCCTGACAGGATCGTGACATGAATTGTTAATCTGTTAGGTAAGTCTGTGAGGTAGACGTCACTTAAGGTGACAAGTGCTGGCAGGTGTACAATGTTTACAGGACCGATGAGAAGGACATTGCAAGGAAGATGTATTCAACATGCAGTAAGTGTGGTATGCCAACAGAAGCAGGAGTTTATAAACGGTTGATGATCTGCATTACTACTACTAGTTCAAATCGAACGTTTCCACCCGCTGTAACCACGTTTACTGTATGACTGACTGGTGCGGTGTCTTTGAATCGGGGTGACTGCAGATTGAAAAAAACAGACTGCTCCCGACACTCACGTAAGGCAGAGTTCACAATGGCTGCTGTCACCAGTGGTGACAGTCTCGCCGAATATGGCCTGAAAGCTAGCGATTTGTGATGTAGTTAGTGCTGTTACACAAGAGAAGTCGGGAATATCCTCTTACAATTCCCTCAAGAAAAATTGCTCTAATCCCGTAAAATGCAGCAGCTGAAATAATTCCCCTGCAATCAAACGTAGTGAAGAGAAATGGAGATGACAGTGAGTCACTGATAATTGAGGAACAGGTGTGATTAATGATGATGATATATAGTTGATGCTGCAATGTGATTATTTAATACGGGGCCATCACCATGGATACCAGAACAGTGGCACACGCTCTACATCAAGCCTATAACGCTGCAACGTCTCAGCCACTATATGCATACTCCATCATCAGGAACAGTTATTGAACAGATTTACGTTTATTGTGTATTTGTGCTATAACAGTATATAACCACACAGAAACTAAAACAACGCTTCTGTGTTCTATGATACAGAGTTGCTCAATCGCTGTCCTGCTCCTCGTGCAGCTGCAATCGACTAGTCCAGACCACCATGGTAGAACCTCCCGTCACGTCGTCATCATCGTCATCGTCATCATCATCATCATCATCATCATCATCATCGTCGTCGTCGTCGTCGTCGTCGTCTCTCGCCCTTACCCCACATCTATCTGAGTGTGTAGGTGAGCACGCTGCCTGGAGGTGTGTGCACACAGGCATGCAATCACTGCACAGCTTCGCCAAACATCACAGTTCATTTATCAGGTGCCCAGTCGCCCGTATCCAGCGACATCTGTCAACCCTTTCTCCGCACACAAAACGGTCAGCCGCCTAACAAATAACCTATATTGTCAACCCGTGGTCCCCGGAGAATATCAAGTTGCGAATCTTCTCCCTTTCTGCCCGACAGCGCTGATTTTCTGCCCGGGTGCATTAAATCATTTTCGACGCTTACCCTTTCTCCATGAAGATTATCATCTGCCACACTTTTCATGTTGATTGGGAACGGGAATTAATGCCACGAAATTTCCATGTGCATTGGCTGTAGCGACAAGAACTATACTAATAACTGTTAGTCATACGCGCATACATATTCACAACACACGCGCACGCACGCACGCACATATGCACGAACACCAACAGGCTACTATAGTAAGGAGGGCCCTATAAACAGTATACAAACAGCAACAAGATCGAGAGCCATGCATGCACCGCGTTCAACGCTAATATATTTTCTTTAGCTTTGTTTATTTTAATTTGTTTGGATCTTTTTTTATGTCAACAGGTCAGTTAAAATTTATTAACCCTATTTTATTATATAGCCCTTATACCACAGTTTAGTTAGTGTAATTAGGAGTATATTTCTATAGGAGTATATATTCTTTATATTTCTAAAGGAGTTCTATAAGTGTAATTGCATATATATACTATAGTATATAACAGTAGCAAGCATGATTTCCTGAAGTACACATAATGGGATAACAATGAGGTTCAACAATAAAATATGAGCTGATGTGAGTCTAGCATGTCATCAGAATTGTCATCAGAACAGAATTAAATAACATTTACTTTACATGATAATAGTAAAAACATTCCATTCAATATCATGTCTTTGTGAAATTATTTTTAAGTGTCTGCTGAATAACTTCATGAGCTTTATTGGCGTTTAACTTGAAGTAGTTTTAATCTTAATAATTATAAAAAAAATTAAAGCTTTCTATCTATTTATTGTGGCTAATAGAATATAAATTTTCTATTATGGACTCTTGATTATATTGATCAGTAAAGCATGAAACAGGTAAACATAACAAGGCCATCGCATGTTATCTATAAAATCTTGACACTCATTACAAGGCCTAGAAAGCCAACATAGTAAATCGAAACATTGCAAGTATAAATAATTCTTTACTTGCTACGTACATTTTAACTATTTAAACTTTTACTTGTCTCGTCTGACCTCAAGCTTATGAATGAATGTTCAACTGCTTTGTCCATACTTGCAATGGCAGCAAGGAGGCTATCACAAGAATATAATGAGGATTTTACATATCCGTTTTGTTTCATGGCAGTTTACTTGTTACGGTCAGTATATAGGCAATGTCACTCACAATTTTGAGTGCTACACGCTAATCATAGGGAAGTTATACCTGAACACGGTGTGTAACAACAGCCCCGCAGAGCTGAGCAGAGCAGCTGCTTGTCAACAAAAACATTCCTAGATAAACAGATATGGAAAACCCATGTCTACACCACCTACTCGTGTCTAGAAATTCTCGTACATATCCCATTATTATTTTATTCATATCCCCTTTGTTGATTTTAACCAGTCCTCAAACAGATATATTATACTACATATCTACAACTAGATATATACTATAACTATACTATATCTACTAGATCTAGCGTCCAGAGTTGTCTCGAGTTGCATTGTAGTTGTACAATTTTTTTTGGCAAAATAGCCTTCCGCTCACATACGTGTACAATTCGTTGTTCACACGTCTTACAGTCTGCCCCAAGTGCTCACACGTGCTAACCCTCGACATGCATACTGCTTGCACGCTTACCATAATATTTCAACCTAGTACGCATCGACTAGCAGACCTGCCGACTGGCGATGTACCCTATATGAATATTACTGTGACAAGTGCTGAACATTACGGTCGCATTTACTATTTTCCAAAATCCGCCGCAGATCTCTAAGGATGAGCGTCCTCTGACAGAGTGACGTGCAACCATCAGCAGGGACTGCGGCTTCTCTGCGCCCTACTTCAGCCATCAGCAAGGACTGGCGGCTTCTCTCTGCTAGCTTCACCATCAGTCAGGGACTGCACCTTCTCTCTGCTAGCCTATCACCCATCAGCAAGGACTGCGGCTTCCTCCTGCTAGCTTCACACCATCAGCAATGGACTGCGGCTTCTCTCTGCCTAGCTTCACCATCAGAGGCAGGGACACTGCGGCTCTCGTCTGCGCTAGGCTTCACCAATCAGCAGGGACTGTGGCTTCTCTCTCTGGTAGCTTCCACCATCAGCAGGGACTGCGCTTCTCTCTGCTAGCTCAAGCTCAATCAGCAGGAGACGCGGGCTCTCTCTGCAGCTACTTTTCTCAGACCATCAGCAGGGACTCGCAGGCTTTCTCGTGCTAGCTCACCGAGGTGGGCAAATCAGCAGGACTGGCAGCTTCTCTCGCAGCTTCACCATCAGCAGGGACTGCGGCTCTCTTGCTCCTGAGCTTCAACATCAGGGAGGGACTGCGCTTCTCTCTCCTAGCTTCACCAGTCAGCAAGGGACTGCAGCTTCTGCTCTGCTAGCCTTCAACCGAGGCTAGGTCAGGGACTGGCGGCTTCTCTCTCCTAGCTCACCATCAAGCAGGGACTGCGGCTTCTCTCTCCTAGCTTCACCAATCAGCAGGGACTGCCAGTTTCTCTCTCCTAGCTTCACTCGATCAGCAGGGAACGCAGCTTCTCTCTGCTAGCTTCAGCCATGCATGCAGCAGGGACTCGCAGCTATCTCTGCTAGCTTCACATCAGCAGGGAACTGCGCTCTTCTTCTCCTAGCTCACGCATCAGCAGGACGGCGGCTTCTCTCGTGGCGGAGTTCACCCATGCATCAGGCGGCGACTGGCGCTTCTCTCTCCTAGCTCGACCATCAGCAGGGACTGCGCTTTTGCCTGCTCTGCTAGCTTCACCATCACAGGGACTGCAGCTCCTCTCTCTCTGCTTAGCCTTCACCAGCAGCAGGGACTGCACCTCTCTCTGCTAGCTCACCGATCTAGCAGGACTGGCAACCGCTGTCCTTCGCTGCGTGGAACAGCTTGCACCATCAGCGAGGGACTGAGCACTTTCTCTCTCTCTGCTAGCTTCCACCAATCAGCAGGGACTGCAGCT